GTTTTTGATTTAGGGAGCTCCTGCTCATAAATTAAAGGTCAAGTCTTGTTGTCTGTTGCATGGATGCTTCCAAGAGAGGAAACTAAAATTTCCAAAGTTGATTAATTCAAATCTGTCTTAATTAACTTGTGTTTTCTAGCTTGAGAGAGACCAGAGCAGGTAAGTCAACAAGATAATGGTCTGTATTTCTTTAAGTTGATTTCAGCGTGTTCCACACTCCTAGTTATTTGTATTGTTGAATTCTGCTATCAAACTATCTGGCCCAGTGTACCTTTCTGCTAAAATTTTCCAAACTGGCATCTTCCTAAGCTTAGACTGTCATAGATTTATAACTTCTTTTATGCTAAACACATAAAAAGATAGGAATTAGAGGGTTCTTTTAATAATTTCGTCCAAATAAGTAACTTTTTGTAACACAATCATAGTCCAAATAATTACGTTCATCCATAATTTCAACATGACCATTTCACACAATCATGTTGCATTACTTCTCTGAAAATAAGAGAGTAAATCACCTTGGGGGGTTGTTTTAAGTTTCAGTATGCTTCTTCACACTTCGAGGACTCAACTTCTTGATTCTGTCTTGCTGGTCCAATGATAAGAACAAATAACAAATCAAAGTCTGCTTGTATGGTTTGCATCTTCTATTGTAATAAGAGCTAACTGCAGCTTGCTATGAAACCAGATAGGACTACAATCTGAATTCTGATTTCTGTGTGCTAAATTATAATTTATGTGTGTTTTATTCTGTCATTTTGGTGTTTTGCCTGTTCAATTCCAGCATTTCGTTTGTAAGGAATGAAGAACAAGTTAGCTGCAACAGAAATAAGACTGAAATCTGAATTCTGCAAGTTTAATGCTCTTATTCTTATCGACTTGTTTAGTTGATAGAATAGTTATTCCTTAATCAAATTATAAAAAGGCGGTAAATGAAATAGAAATCATGCTAGTAATTTTTTTTCTTTTTTAGGTTTTGGATTTAAGGGGCTCCTGCTTATAAGTAAAATCAAAGGTCAGTCTTCTTTCCTCTGTTGCATTCTCAATAACTTTAATAGGATGCTTCATGGAAACAAGATTTCCAAAGTTGGTTAATTGACTTGTGTTTCCACGAGGGACGAGTAGGTAATTAAGTTAACAAGTCAATGGTATTCCACTTCTTTCACTTGAGCGTGTTCCAACTTCCACATACTCATAACTCATTTTTTTGCATGTATTGTTGAATTGTGAAGGTCCACCTTACCTTTTTATTAAAATTCCTCAAACTGGTATCTTCCTTTAATCTTCACCCCACCCAACTCTAAATTAATGCTTTCTCCTTTTATTTCTTTGATGTTCCCTACAGTTATATTTAAGTAGAGCAGAATGGTTTTGAGAACTGAGCAAACACCTACACAAAAGATTAAATTTCCTTGACACAGTCTTCAGTTTGGTTGAGCTTCATCTTCATTCTGTTCTTTTCACTTTCAAAAATCATGGTTTTGGGTATAGGGTCCTTCTAATTAATTATCACAAGATGTCAAGTAAACGATCACATAAATTATTCTTGACAAACGACATTATTTGGGCAACGTTTAGTGTCTATGGTTTTATTTTCTTTGAAAGAACCCCAAATAGTTAGTCTTCGGCTTGATGATATTTTCATCTGTACCAATTGCATCACATGTTTAGTCTCAACCTTATCTTTGATGGAATTAGAAAATGAACTTCACATTTTCAAATGAGTCAAATATTTAAATTTACTAAAATACCCCTTAAATTTAAACTATGTTATCCTTACTTCCCATTTACTAATAAAGATACTTTGAAGAAAAACTAATATTAGATTAAGTTTAGTGAAATGAACCCGCCAACTTACATGAATTCTTTCACATTATTTCTCTCCTTCCATTGGCGTTCCTTTCACATTCTTTCACTACAAAAAAATGACATGAGAGTGATTTTAGCAAGTGGAAAAGATGAGAAATTAAATAAATAATAAAAAAAAGACTATCTTAGCTTTAAATTTTTGTTTATGCT